CTTCCACGGGCAGCCTGGAGCAAGAATTAGTGTCTCAAACCACCGCGTGGCAGCAGGTGAGGGGTGCTGTTAAATGCCAGGGATCAAAAGCTCCCCTCTGCTCCTTGTTCTTGTAGGAACTGACCTCCAAACCTCCACCGGCCCTTCCTCGCTTCCGCGGGCAAAATGGTTCTGTTCTACACTCCCCTGCTAGCTTCATTTCCCCCACCTGGCAGCGAAGAAACCACACGTTCTGCTCAGCAACTCTCTAGGCCTTCCATCCATAGGACCAAAGTGAAGAGCCCCACCACCACCTCTCCCAGCATCTGTCAGTACACTTCCCATATTGCACAGCTTCGATGTGACCAAGGCAGTCAGGATTGTTCTGTACATTGCTTACCAGTGCAGATGGCAGCAGAGCCAAGCACTTTGGCAAGATTCAGTTCTCTTGGCAGCTGGCACTTTCCAACCCTGCCTTCATAAAAGAGGACAGTGCACAAGCAACAGTGCATCTTCTCATCAGATGCAGAACGTGGAAACAAATGTTTTAAAGACTCATTAAGCAAAATTGTGGAAGGCTAAAGGCATTGGGACGTGTCACATCCAACTGGAATTTATGCTTAGCCAAGCATGTAAAAACCCCCAAATTAGTAAGGTTGATTTTTACTACCTGCAAGAGACTGAAATATTGAGGAGAAAAAGCAGAAGCATGGATACCCCTTGCAGGATGACACAGCACAGCTCAGCATAACATGGAACCACTTGCATATGGCTTTGGCAAAACATTTCAACATGACCCTTATTCTGTCCTGTAGCTAAAGAAATATATACAAAATTACCTTCACTTTCCCTATTTTAACTGTATCTCAAGCCAGTCCAACAGAAATTCCGCGGTTGTTACTATCTTAAGGGGGCACAGAAGGAACATATTGCTTGTCCTCCAAGCCCTGTACAAACAGATCAATTCTGGTAACAAATAAAGGCTACAGTTGCCCTCAAGTTCTCAGACTCCCTCAAAAGAGGGGTTCTGTTCTCCAGGTTAAGACTCAAAATTATATTGCACCTACTTATACTGTTTAAATTTCTCCCTGATCTTAATTCCCTGCTCGGGGATGCAGATCGGAGCATCTGAGTGGGCCCTGAATGGCTCAGCTCCTCCTCTGGCTTCCAAGATCTTCTGTATTCCTGAAGAAAAGTATTAAAAGTTTAAAATATGTCCCTAAAAGCAGGGGACAACTAAATAAAAATAAATTAAAAAAACCATCAAACAAACAAACCAAAAAAACCTGCCAAAACATCCCAACCAATCAAACAAACAAACAAAACCCAAAAGCCAAACCAAACCCAAGACACAAGACAAACAGAATCTTAACCACTTTGTTTAATGTTGTACAAAACAAAAAATTGGTGAGTATTACAATGAAAAGGGATTAAAACACTGGTATCACATTGCCATCTCTCTACCTAAACAGTTGAGATTCACTTCTCTGTTCATACCATAGAAACTTGAGTGGCCTCCAGGAACAGAATGACTTAAAAAAATCCTTGTGTCACACGTATTCTTCACTCTACATTTTAAAGCTGTGCTCACAGAGACGGCTTCTTCTATTGGAGTCTTCAGGTAAACAGGAGTTCAGTTGTAAATAAAGTTGAATCTAAAATTTAAAAGGATTATACCAAGTAAGGAGTTTTCATTCTTTCTATTTAAGGGGAGTTTTGAATTATTATGCAAATGTTTTGTTTCTGCTCTGGATAAGCCTCCACCTGACAGGACAAAAGTGCATTTTTTAGTAAGATAGCTTTACAGTATAGCATCCTTTTTAACAGCCAATCCTCCTCTAACACTGCACAACTGTCTCTTAGGGTTGCAGAAGAGCTAATTATTAACACTTTATCTCCTAAGACAGTTTCATAGATATGAAAATCCCACTGAGAGTTATGTTCCTTCATCAGCAACCCCTTCACAGCATTTCTGCTGTCAGGCAAACCTTACATATTCCAAGGTAACATACAGACATACTCAACAGCAGAGAGAATTCTCAACTAAGTTTCACAAAGAGCAGTGGAAACGACCATCCCTCTCAGCTCCCAGATGCCCAGCCTTTAGATGCCTCTGTTGCACTGCTACCCAACCAGCACCTCTCTGCAGAACAGCCAGTGTTCGCTGGTACTCAGAGTACCCGCTGTTTTCAGAGGGGGAAGCCAAAACTGGGGCTGGATAGACAAAAAAACCAGCAGGAAACAAGCCTATTATGGGCAACACCTGTGCTGACATTCTGCTAGCAGACTTTCTTCATCAGACTAGGAGGAGGACAGAGCTACTCTCCTGAAGAACAGCTGGCAGGCTGTGGGATGCCTGGCATGTCTGAATGACCACCCACAAAAATAAGAAACCAGTGAGCTCTGGAGACCTGAGGCACAAGCCATGTCCAGGTAAGAAAGCCAAAGAGTGTGTACCTTAGGAAGAGGAAGGAAAAAATACAGCTGTCCCTACACATATTTGTGTCATAAAAATACTACATGTTATAAACTGCAGCAGGGAGTCTAAAAAACCCACCACATTTAGTCAGCACAAAACTGGGATAGCATGCACACCTAACTCAGTGCTTCAAACTCCCAGCTTGGCTTTTACTCTCACGCTGCCTCCAGTGCCTACAAGAAGCTGTTCCTCAGTCTGTGCACAGCTTCACCCTCACTATCTTTCACATTTCCTTAGCTACAGCTGCTGTGTAGGACTTTGGTGCCAGCCAGTTGTGATCAGCCTCTAAACTGTCCATCACACCTTGTCTGAGGGAGATTCTTTGGGATAGCTACAACCTTTTCAAGTTGGTTTCTGCAGTGCCTCACCTTGCTCTGGTGTCCCACAGCAAACATATTCCCAAGAACCATCATACAAATACAATATACCTGCTCAAAAGTTGAGGAAGGCTGGAAATAATGGGTCCATATCCTGGTGCATTGTCATAGAGCTCAAACAAGGGTGCAGCAACCAACTTGTAATTTTTGGGGACTGCAAACAAAGCTAAAAACAAATACAAGTTGATTAATAAGACAAAGCAGAACACGTTCAGCCAGGGTATCATTGTCCCACTGTCATGGGTCATCTCAAACCATGACACCCACATAGCCCTCAAAACAAGATCACTACACAGAGCACTCCAGCAGGTTTATTCCTTTTCTAATTAAATGTGGGGTTCACATGCTGAACAGGAGCAGGAATGAGAATTTACTAGGAATTCATGTTCAAAGGATCATCTACCTTCAGAACCAATACCAGCATTTAATTTTGTTAGTGATCAACTATAAACAACTGCAAACATACAAACACAAACTTGCTCCATCTCCTTGTGGAGATCACTTAGACATTGTTATAAATACAACCCTTTGCTGCAAACAAATACCTACCCTTTTCTTGAAGCTGGACCAAAAAAAGCTTTTTGTGCTCTTTTGGCTTTGTAATATGAGCTGGGATATAGGGATACTAGAAGAAAAATGATAAAAATTAGTTGTACAGAGCTTTGAAAATATTGTGCAATCTAAAGTGCTACTTTATAAATTATCAAGCACTGTGCAAGCTTTCAGTGTGTCATATATTTTTTGTTCATGGCATTGAATAAAAAAAACCCCAAAATTTTATAAGTACTTCAGAAAAGAGTGCTGTTGCTGTTACAACTAGTGACAGGATCTAAATGGGCACCAATACTCACAAGCAGTTGAAACAACCCAATAAGACAGAAATGCATAAGAGCAAAATGAGCCTTTAGAAATAGGGTAGTGAGACTAATTTATTCACAGGGCATCTGTTCCATAAGCTGCTGCAAGAGTTTCCATCGTGGCTACAAAAGGAATTTCAGTGGTGCATCTGTCTCAGCACAGAACTGGAAGCTGTTACATCCAGTGGTTTCTCATCCATCATGACATGTGTGAGGAGGGGAATAGAAGTTTCCAGAAAAAGAGGCTGCAGTTTCTCCCCAGCCACCGAAAGGAGATAAAACAGGTAAAAACCAGAAAAACTAACTGCTCATGCAGCAGGTACTCAAAAAGGCCAACCAGTGGGTTGAAGGCTTTGGAGGTACAATCAGTACTTGACTGAAGAGGATGGAAGCCCACAGGAGTACTCACCTGAGGAGGTTCAAAGTTTGGTCTCCACCAGTTGCCAATGCAGTCATCAATCACCCAGTCCTGCTGAACACCATCCTGGCGACCCAGTATCTACCAAAAATCCAGTAACAATCACAACTCGAACTATCCCAAGTCCATTTTTCTAGAAAACACATACTGAAAGAACAAAACCTTTTTCTGATATAGTTTAGAACTGCTCTGAGACAGCTTTCAATAGAATTTGTAGAGTATTTTTGTAGAAAGTGGAATTTTTTCGTAAAAGCCTCGCCTGGCAGGACAAGGCCACTTTAGAGAGCATTTCAAATTCCATGCTGTATTCAGCTGGCCTGAGTCCTATCTGACCAATGGGAAGAATGAAATACATTGTTACACTAGCTGGCAGAAGCAATTTAGGCTAATTGGAGGGCATGGAAAGTTACCAGTGCAACGGGAGGACTATCTCAAAGGCAAGTCCTCACCAGCTGTGCTCCACAACACATCTTATTGCTCATCTGCACATTCACTTGCCTGAAGCCAGTCAGAAAGCAAAGCTGCAAATGAACACAGGACTTGAGCAGCAGCAGGAGTCAGCCACACTCATGATGCAGACAAATGAAAACTTGACTGCTTATTTGTAACTACCTGAGAACATCACAAAAGCAACAATAACAGCAGCGGTAAGAAGACCACTCATGTTTTGGCTTATTCTGCTAATTCTAAGATAATGTAACATTCTGCTATGGAAACAACAACAGAAAACAGACCTCTGTCATTAAGCGTTTGAGCCCTTCCACCTCATCTTCTCCCGGATTCAATTCACCACCAGGTCTGTTAAAATAACAGTGATGAAAGCTGAAGTTACATTTTATTGCATTACCAACTTTCACAGGTAAGTTCAGATGTGCTTCCAGGCAGGGAGTTACAAATTCTTTTATGGTCCTTAAGTCAGAAATTCCAAATCTAACTTTGATATTGAAGACAGCAGGATAACTTTCACCAAAACCATGACTAAAATGGCTACTCGTGCCCCTTATAAAAATAACTATTATATAAAATACTTTCAATTCAGCAGGACAAAGCACAACAATATACATGATAAAGACTGGGACACTTAAAGGGTAAAGTTTTAACAATAATAACCAAAAGCTGAAGAAAAGGTTGTAAATACTGCCTGCATTTATTGTTATCTCAAAACCAGCACACACTGAAGCAAACAGAAAGCAGAAAATAAAACTCAGATGGGGAACCGCCCCACATTTGATGCACAATTAATGAAAAATCTAAAACCACATTTTCATCAATACAGCATTTCACAAGCCTGTTTGTGCACAAACACCCTTCAAATCAAGACGTGAAAAACTAATCTAGATATGAAATGAGACTTCACACATACACAAAATTGAGAGCAAACAATATAAATGTTAAAAACAAGAGCAAGAACACGAGCAGGGTAACTTGAGACAAGTCAAGACCATCTAGTTTAAAACAGAAAACAAGCACCACCACCATCACCACGACCGTATCCAAACGTTAGAATTTCACTCTGGCACTGATCAATATGAGAGGAACTGAAGTGATTTCCTCAAATTTAGACACCTCCCTTTCTTGCTATCCCAGCTCACCCAGTAGTTTGTAACCAGGTATCATTCTGTATTTACAGGGGGTTAGTTCTTGAACTAAACTAAACTTCTTGAACATAAGCTATGGAAGCATAACAGCTTTCACAATGCAAGTACAACACACCAGCTGCTGATAATGACTTTTAAACAAGATTTTACCACAGTGATGCACTGTAACTAAGATTCCCAGCTGGTTCTTCCAAACTAAGTCACCCCCTCATGAGCAGTCAGACAAACACTTTAGATGAAAACCCCACCACTCAAAAAAAGACTTTCCAGACTAAGTTTTTGCAAGAAATTAATCCCATTCAAAACATCAACCAGTTGGCCACAGTTAGACCTCCAGCCCGCGTGTTTAGTGGTCTGTGACAATAAATTAAAGTTTAAAGTTTAAGAAACACTTACAGCTTGAAAAAAGTTGTCCCCAGCTGCAGCAACAGCACGTGGGGCAGCCTGTGCTCGTGCACGATGAGAACCCCCTCCACCGTCCTCCTCATGCCAATCTTGTCAAACTCTTCCCTCATGCGCTGGAACCGAGCGGCCACCGAGCTGTCCTTCTCGTACAGGGGCTCCTTGGTGCCAAACGTGTAATTTGTCAGAGGGTACCTGCAAGGGGGGAAAATTGTAACTGCTTAAAGAAACTGAACTTTAAATCCCTCTGACACAGCACCTCCCCTGAGGCAGACCCTTCTGTGCCTGGTGGGCAGCTCAGAGTGCAGGGCTAAAATCCTTGCTGGGGGCTCACGGGGCCCTTGTCCCAGAGAGATCTGCTCGAGGAACACACGAGCACAGACAGTCCTGCTGAGCCACACACCAGCCTGGGGCTGGCTCAAAAGAAGGGAAGAAGCCCAGAAGAACCAAACATTATTCAACAGCCACCCTCTTTGATCTCCATGCCACAGAGAAAAGGCAGCTGAAGCTCCAAGAGAAACTGGAAAAGAGACCAGAGGGAAAAGCTCTGCTGGGAAGGAAGGAAGGAAGCTGCACAGCACTGCAGGTGTTTTCTGCAGATGTAATGAAGGGCCTGAGAACTGAACTGTTAGAAGTGGTTTTGTTTTGAAGTGGGGAATCAGGCATCTGGATGACAGAGGAGGAGAAATGCTGACTGTCTGAGTGCAGGGTTGAGAGCCTGGGGTAAGACAAAGAGTGTGAGCAGATCCCTCTGTTGGGCTGGTACTGGGCCTCTGCACTCTTGGGACAGTGCAGTGAAAACTCAGTGATTTCTTCAAGTAAGAGGGACTTAAAACAGTCAGAAAAGAAAAGAAAGTTTAGGCAAGAAATGGTCTAGACTTTAAAAAAAAAATATGCTGATAACACAGCTTCCCAATGAGTCATTTCTTCAGAAACTCTATAGAAATATTCCAATCTCTGAAGCTCACATTTGAATTTTCACAAGACTGAATAAATTCAGCTACACCAAAAAATACAAGTGTTAGTGATGAATAGTTAAAATTGAATATTGACTGCTGCAGTTAACATCTGCTGTTTTTTGCAACTTGACAGATGTACTTAGCAAAGAACACGTTCTACGTCCACCAGAACTTTCTAGAAGAAGCTAAAATATATGGCTTCTCATTAAAAAATATGTAAATACTTATTAGCAAGTAGTTTGTTTCTATGGCAGAAATAAAATTTTCTCTGGTAGCAACCACTCTTAATTAAACCCCAACACCTGCATCAGACAACCCACAAACACCAGGCACATCCAGCTACATCCCACGGACTGGGGTCACAGGGCCAGCCCGAGTCCCAGCGAGGCCAAGAGAGAGCCCGTTTCCCGGATAATCCGTGAGAGTGTCGGTGACGCTCAGCAGGCCCAAACCCTCCCTGTGTTACTCGGGGCTCACACCTCCCGAGCCAGACGCTGTTTTTAAGCACTAAAGCGTTCGCTCCCCCGAAGGCCGGCGAGCCCTCGGTACCCCGGTACCCCCAGAACGGCTCAGCAGCCTGCGCGGGGGGAGCCCCACAGGCACCCGGGCTGTGCCGCCGCCCTGCCCTCGGCTCTCCAGGAGGCCGCGACCCTCCGGCCCTCGCAGGGCGGGCGCTGAGCGCAAACCCCCCGGGGCTGCTGAGGGAGCGGGCAGGACGGGGCGGGGACGGGCAGGCCCGAGGCGGCGCTCACAGGTTGATGGTTCTCTCCAGCGTGAGCGGCTTCGTCTGCTGGATGTACTTGTTGCGAACTGGTTGACCCGCGGGGCCAGCCGTCTGCGAGCGGTTGGGCGGCACCACGGACATGGCGGGAGGCGGCGGGAGGGCGGCGGGAGGCGGCGGGAGGCGCGGGGAGCGGCGGGTCAGCGCTGGGCGGCGGGAGCCGCGTCCGCCATTAATGCCCGCCCGGTCCCGAGCGCCGCGCGCCGCCCTGCGGGACCGCGCCCCGCCCCGAGCCATCCGATTGGCCGCCGAGGGCGCAGCGCGGGGCCGCCGGGAGTTGCAGTCCGGCGGGCGGCGTCATGGCCGCCAAGCGCCGCGGAGCGGGCGCGCCGCCGGGGGCGAAGCGCGGGAAGCGGGAGGCGCGCGCCGAGCTGTGCGCGGCCTCGGGGACGCGGCGCTGCGGGAGCGCGCGGGGGCGGCTTGGGCCCGCGGGGAGCGGCTGCAGCACGGTACGGCCCGGTACGGGCCCGGTACGGCCCGGTACGGCCCGGTACGGCCCGGTACGGCCCGGCATGGCCCGTACGGCCCGGCCGGGCACGCGGGGAGCGGTGCGGCACGGTACGGCCCGGCCTGGCTCCCGGCCTCACCGGCGGCCTTTCCCTGCGAGGCGGCGGCGCTGGAGCCGGCCCCGTTCCGGCACGCCGTCATCCCCGGGTTCCTGGCGGGCGCGGCCTTCGCGGAGGCGCTGCGGGACGAGCTACTGGGCCTCGGCTTTCCGCGGGCGGCACAACGACCTCCTCTCGCTGCGGCAGGTGGGCCCCGGGCCGGGCCGGGCCGGGCTGTGCTGAGCCGCCCTAACCCCCGTCCCTTCTTCTCTTCCATGGGCCGCCGCAGTCCGAGGAGCTGGGGGCAAGCCCGGAGCCCCACATCGCGGCGCTGAGGTAAAGGATACACTGTGACCCGCAGCAACAGCACCTGTAACTCTTTAAATAGTTGGGAGACAATACATTAGTTTAGTCTATGGTGATATGGATGCTTTATAACACGGGAGGACATGTACCTTATGCTTGTCTTCTCAGGAATGCTCTATGTGAAGAATTCCGACCGTGGCTTTCTGCTGTGACCCAGATAGAGCTGGAGCCAACTATTGACATCTCTTGTGCTAAATATGAGTATACTGGTCAGTATACAAGTGATCTTTTCCCTAAAGCTTGTAGGAAACAAAATGTCTATGGAATATCTAGTTTTATAACCCATCCCAACCCTTCTCTAGTTCCAGAGGGTCCCAGAAGCAGCAAATCAAAGTCTCAGAAAACAAAGTGCAAATGATAGAAAAACTGTTGCTGCAGTTCTGTTGCTGGTGGCTTTAGCTGGGCCTGGTGCAGTTGCAAGTCCCCACCTTTCAGAGATGTTCAGCCTGTGTTTATGTGGCTGCTTCCATACAAGAGTGTGACATGTTCATCTTCCAAATGCTGCAGTTGAGTTTGTGAATTCTAATGGCAAAATGTCACCTGGTGACTCCAGGTTTCAGCTGTGCCTGTGCTTTCAGTCGTGAAAAGTCACTGTAGGAAGGGGGAATTTTTAATTGCAATCAACTCTAATTTTTAAAAGTCTTTTGCACAATCAGTTGCTGGTCCAGCTTTTCTGTTCCCAGGATTCCCCCTCCTCTCTATTCCTGCAACAAACCTACTCTGTTCAGAAGTCAGAGCTGGAGTCATTGTTTAGGTTGGGAATCTCTGTCCCCTGTGCCCGGTGGCAGCCAGAAAGGGGTGGGTGATAAGGTGTGACTGCTTGTACCTTCAGAGGGGGCTCATCTGCCAGCTGCAGTGCAGCCCCACAGAAGGTAACCTTGCAGATCTCGGGCTGGTGATGCCGATGAGCGAAAATGCAGTTCTTGGGAGGAACGTGTTTCTTCTTGTCGTGCCCTCGCGGGGCCCAGGCTGGGAAGCAGTTGTTGGAATGAATCACGTGTGTGCTGCAAAGATGCTGCAGCAGCAAAGGGTGTGTGATTGCAGATGTGTTGCTGTGCCACGATGACGAGCTGGAAGGTCGGAGAATCGCCTTCATCCTGTACCTCGTCCCAGCCTGGCAGAGCGGTGACGGGGGAACGCTGGACCTGTTCAGCACGGACGGTGAGAGCCCGGCCTCGGCCCCAGGGGGTGAAAAACACAGAGTTCATGTGCACCTTGCTGCAACTCTCCCCTCAAACAGCAGCAGGGAGATAAAGAGTTTCTCCTTTGCCCACAAAAGCGGATGTGTAGGTAAAATTCGCACCTTAGGGATGGGCTGTAGTGGGGTTTACAGACAATGAGCAACAGCAGACAAAGAAACAGCCTTTTATTCTGTTCTTTTGGAAGGGCTGAGAGTGGAGGCAACTTGGAAGCAATGCCAGTAACTGTGCTTGGAACTCCAGAATGATGACAGTAATGTCCCTTTCCAGCAACAGAGCCACAGAATGGTTTGGGCTGGAAGGAATCTTAAAGATCATCTAGTTCCAGCCCCCTGCTGTGGACAGGTGCACCTTCTACTATCCCAGGTTGCTCCAAGCCCTGTGCAACCTGGCCTTGAACAGTTCCAGGGATGGGGCAGCCACAGCTTCTCTGGGCAACCTGTGCCAGGGCCTCACCACTCTCATAGTAAAGAATTTCTTCCTAACATCTAATCTAACCCTGCCCTCTGTCAGTTTGAAGCCATTACTTTTTGTCCTGTCACTCCATGCCCTTGTCCAAAGTCCCTTTCCAGCTCTCCTGCAGCCCTTTTAGGCACTGAAAGGGACTCTAAGGTCTCCCTTGGGCCTTCTGTTCTCCAGGCTGAACAGCTCCAACTTTCTCTGCCTGTCTCCATAGCAGTGCACTGATTCCTCACCAAGCCCTTGCCCTGAGCTCCATCCCTTATACTCAGGTGTCCTACCAGTCACTGTCATGAAGTGAGAGAGAAATAGCACTTTCTAGCAAGTTCCAGTTCAATATCTTAACCAGAGTGTGTTTTCTCCCTCCTCAGAACACCTCCAGCCACAGCACATCACCAAGTCATTAGTACCTTCGTGGAACACGCTGGTTTTCTTTGAAGTGTCTCCAGTCTCTTTCCACCAGGCAAGGAGCTGTCTCTTGTTCGTTTTTTGATTCTCATTGTTGTGGTTGTTCCCTCTGTGTGTTATTACAATCCTGATGGGGAGGGAGAAGAACTGTGGCTAGAGCAGATACTCACGCTAAGTGCTGTGTGCTAAAGGCAGGGCTTCAGGGACTTTAAGGAGGACAAGAACTGACAAAGCCAACATTAAACTATCAGTCTAGCTTCATCAGCCTGGGAAAGGAAAACTTTTGTTTTGTGTTGCTATCCTGGCAAGCCCCTGCTGTGAATTTGGCTAGGGCTTGTTTTTGTTTGTTGGCTTGTCTTAAACTAGCTCACATTTTTCATGCGGGTGCCATCACTTCACACCAGAAGAGCTCCTGAGCCCACCACCTTGCCAACAGGGGCATCATTTGTGCTTTCTCTTCACACTGCTGTTACAGCACCTTAGAGTGTCCAATTGTTCCATTTAGCCCAACCTCTGCACAATTTCATGAAATCAAGATTTAACAGTGACCATTACTGTGGGAAAACTAAGGGTTTCCAGAGGCCAGGGTAAATGCCAGGATAGAGGGTCTGCTCTTAGTCTCACAAATAAGCAAAGAGCCTTCATGCTGGCTTGTGTTACAGCATTTTTTAAAAAGTAAAGGACACAAAAGCAGAGCAGTGTAGCCTGCCAAGGCCCACGGGTGCTCCGCGTTGTCTGACCTTCCAGACTAAGCTGTGACAGCTGATTTTTGCAGTCCTTTATGGTCCTTCAACAGAATAAATGGTAGAAAAATGAAATGCAATTACTTTATAACAGAATGACAAAGCTCTCAGAGAGAGCTCTGCTGTGAGCTTGGAGTAAAAGCTTAGACTGGAACTCTGGAAACACACAATGGACTTGAGCATCAAAGTTTGCCTTAGGCCTCTGATAATCCCACCTGGTCTAGTGCTGTCTGACTCCAGAGAGCCCATGCAAGTGGGCTCTCTGGAGTCAGGTCCATGTCCTGTTGTGAGTCTCCAGGGTGCCTGTCAGCCCTGGTCCCAGCAGTGCTGTCCCCCAGCAGTGCTGTCACCCAGCAGTGCCGTGCTCGGCCGTTGCAGGTGTCCGAGGTTGTGTCGCGGAGGTGCCGCCTGTCCGTGAGCGGTTGGTTCCACGGCCCGGCCGTGCCCAGACCCACGCGCCACGCTGAAGCTCCCTTGCCCAGGAGCCCCCACATCCCCTACGATGTGAGTAACATCTGCTTATCTGCATTTCTCTCTCTTTCTTGTTCCTGTAACACCTGTTACGGGAGGCAGTGATGCTCTGGGGATGCTTTAATCCTATCGCATTCTCCTTTTTGTTCTCTGTCCATAAATTTGTATCCAGTTTCTTTCCCGTGCATCTTTCTTGGCTCTGGATGTTTTGCATACCTCCAGTAGTTCAGAGACTGCAGCAAATACTTGTGGTGCAATGAAATAAAGGAATGGAGTGTGTGTGAGGGAATGCAGCCCTGTGGGCAGCTCAGTATGGGGAACTGAGGAATTTCACTTTTGCAAACTCAGCATTGCAATCCATTTCCCTTCCAGCATGAAATACTGTATGAGTGGATCAATCCAGTTTACTTGGACATGGACTCCCAAGCTCAAATCCAGGAGGAATTTGAGGAACGATCAGAAATTCTCCTGAAAGACTTTCTTAAGGTGAGCCTGGTGGTTTGATTGGATCTGATCTGCCAGAACAGGGTGACAGGTACCACCTGGCATGCAGGCTGGGAAAGGGCTTGCTTGCACATCTGTTAACTAAAACACCTAGTTTCATGCCCTAAAGGGGAATGGACCTCCAGAGGTCCTTTCCAACCTCAACCACTCTGTGATTCTGTGGATGGATCCCCTCTGACTGCCTGTACACTGCTGTGTAGGGACTCACCAAAAATCAAACACTTGTATTCAACCTTATTTCCTGCAAGAAGCAAAGCAGAAGTGCATCTAAATTCAGCAGTTTAGAGTGCCTTATCTGGAGACACTACTTCTGGCACACCTGGGAGCTGAATGATAATGTCTCTGCACTATCTTTTTTTTGCCTAGAAAGAGAAATACCAACTACTCTGTGAAGCATTGGAGAACAAAGAGATCCAGTGGAGCAGTCGGGGGCCTGCCAATAAAAGGTGGGGAATGGCAGCACACTGCAGCTGTTGGTGAGGCCAAGCAGGAGCTGCCATGAGGCTGCCCTGGCTCATGCTGCCCCAAG